TGCTGACCTGAGCTAGCATTATTTCTGTAACTTTATAGGGGGAAAAAAATCATGTCAGTAGCTATAGGGCATGGGAAGGAGGGAAAAGTATAAATATTTAGCAAAACAAACTCTTAAGAAGATTCAGTTTAGCTTTTTCCCTTGTGTGGGGGCAGAAGTTGGAGGTAGATGGGGTAGGCTGTGGGGAGCAGCAGCAGAGAGAGAAAGTGTCACCCGGGTGGACAGGGACAACGGGCGGTACTGTAGGCCTGGGTCCTGGAGCCCACGCTGGGGAGAGACGAATCCCTGTGATATACAAACTTCATTGTACATCAGAACCACCTGGGAAGCGTGTCCAGAAAGCCTCTGCCCGGGCCCGTTCCCACCAGGTATGACTCAATCAGCTTGTGAATCCGAGGGGATTTAAGCAGCAGTTAGAGGGGCCTGTTATTCACCCGGTGCCCACGTGGTTCCAGGCATGGTGCTACAATGCAATTCCCCCATCGAGTCCTTACAGCAGCCCTCTGAGGTGGATGGTACCATTCCCATTTTACAGACGAGAAAACTGAGGCACAGGGAGAAGTTTGTAGGTGCCAGAAGCCTCGTAGCTGGGCAGGGATGGAGCCTGGACTTTAATACCAGGTTGGGGTTAGTGCAGGGAGCTGATCACAGGAACAGGTCAGTTCCTTCATTACTAGGTCCGGTGTCAAACCTCAGTGATGTGAGTGAAAAAGGCCTGGTCAAGAGAAGGTGGGGGACAGGGTCTCCCCTACATCTTCCTGCAGTCCTTTCTCCTTGGGCTTCTTTCTTGCTTCTGGATCTTGTCACGTTTCTCTCTTACCACCCTTACCCCCACCCCCATCCTTTCTTCCTGTCTTCTCTTTCCTGTTGAAGGAGGGGTTTTATCTTCCCTCACAGATCCAAGGCAGCTCCTCACTGCATGCCACTACCATCCCAGGAGGTCAAGAACAGTCAATTATTTAAGTAAGGAAACATCAGATCCACCTGCAGTGAGAACCCACACCAGCCTTCCCTCCCCGGTGCACACAGCCTCCCCGGGCGCCCAGCCCTCCCTCCCCGGTGTACACAGCCTCCCCGGGCGCCCAGCCCTCCTCCTCCGAGGGGTGGGCCCTCCCCACAGGGCTGAGATCACCCTGGGCGGCCCTCCCCACAGGGCTGAGATCACCCTGGGCGGCAGGGCTGCCTGCAATTCCCTGTGGCAGCAGCACTCAGCCGCGTCTCATGTTTAATGCAAGTGAGCTTCTGAGATGGGAAAGCTTTCAAGATACAGCTTGAGATACACAAATGCTGCCCTTTACAGAGCAAACAGAAGTGCACGGAGCGGATGTGGGTCTCCCTGTTTCACGATAATTGTGTCCTCATTGGTACAGATTTAAGCAAACCTGTTCCGTCAGAAGAAAGGAAAAATCTATATACAGGGACCTCTGTGGCCTAGAGAGTCCTGGGTCGCCTCCACGTGTTGAGTCTCCCAGTAATTTTTGATTGAAGACAGGCCAAAATCAGGTCGTAAAAATTGTCATTGATTATCAGTGCTTATCATTAGCAAGTTAATATTTTTTAACACAAATGATCTAATGCAATATAATTGTTCAAGCACAAGCTAATTGCAGGATTTGTAAAATGTTTTAATTCATAGTTCACCCACCGTAGGCCGTGGGGTTCAGGTGTGAAGCTGTCGAAGCAGGGAAATAGGAATTGTATCATAGCGATCTGAGCAGAGGGGATTTCATAGGAGAATTGGCTCCACGGACGGACGTTGGAGGGCTGCATGGGAGAGAAGTGTCATTCGCTGAGGTCATCCTGAGACAATAACCCCAGGGAGCAGCTACCACTGGGGTTGAAAGAACACGAAAGAGGCTGGGGTGACAGATCCAGAAGCTTGAAGGAAGGGCCCTAGAACGCAGGAGCTCAGGCCTCCGAGAGGTTTCCCTTCCAGACTGCGGCTGCTGCCTCCAGGAGTCCTGGTGAGGTTGGTCCTGGCATCACAGTGGGACGATGGGACAGCGGGTTTGGATCTGAAGGTCGCTCGGAACTCGCTTTACCCCCTCCACTTTTCAAGCACACCCCTCGAAGACGGGCCCTGCCTTGAATTTTCTCCTTGCCATAGCTAGACAGGGCTTTAGCAAGTATTGGTGGGCGTCATGGATGGTGTTACTGTGATCCCGCCACGATACAATCCATTTTGAACCTCAGGCCTCCACCTGGACAGACACAGCACCCAACTGCAATGTTTTACGTATCCAGCTAGTAAGTCCTTTGTTATTTTTTTTTTCACTTCAAAAAGGATCATTCTGCAAAGTCACGTCAGGACAGCAGAGCCTGGCCTTTCGAATAAGTGGAGGAGCCTCTTGCTATCAGTGGTCTGATGAATAGAGGCCCTGAGGGCAGCTTAGCGGCTCCTGTAAAATAACTTTAAAAAAATTTTTTTTTTTTGGTAAGAGGCAGGGATCAGCTTCCACGGCAATGGAGATTTCTGAAGAGTCTACACATAAAAAAATATAATGCAGGGACTGAGAAACCTGCAAGGTCTTTCTAAAAATAACCCAAGAACCAGTAGATAAGCTCAGCATTTACATCTAACCGACATCTTTCTAAACCCAGGAAGGCTGACGCTGAGAATTTCTGCTCCGGGAGTTAATGGTATTGGTTGCGTGATCGATCGCACAGCTCACTGGAGGAAGGGCCAAAATACAATAATCTTGTCTCAGCAACTACAGCCCTAGCAAGCTGTATCCCGAGGACAAAGGATGTTTCTTAATGGCCTTAGCATGGTGTTGGTCCCAACATGCTCAGCCCAGAATTGTCTATGTCAAATTAATTACACATCCCTAGTCTTTTCCTTTCTACTGAAATAAAAATGATAAGTGAGCAACACTACTTGGCAAGATATACATCAGCTTCTCCTTTGAAACACTCAGAACTCAATGAATATCAATTACACGACACGCTTTGCCTGAAGAGACTCCAGCCACTAAGAACTGTGCAAAATCACTTGTATTTCAGTGTCAAATTCCGAAGAAAAATAGCCAGACATGGCTGGGCACACTTGCATTTACAACCTTTATTATTTTTAGGATGTGGCTTGAACCCGAATTCCAATGAGTCATACGCTCTTGCCAACAGCCTTTTCAGGGAAAGGTTTGCATTGCACTGAGCCGTTTTAAGGGAAATATAAGTCTTTCTAAAATAAAATGGAACCTGTGTATGTCAAGGAGGCCAAGGCACGTGGACGACCGGAGTAATATTTATATCCCAAAAGTAGACGTTTTATTCTCAACTTCCATTTCTGTTGGACCCCAACAGCAACGCAACTTCAGGAAAAGATGGTCTGTTTTCTAAATCATTTCTAAAACAGGATGGAAATGAAGATCACAGGACACTCAAGGCATTGAAGTAGCTCGACTACCTTATTGCCTTCTCTATAGAATGCTAATTCTAGAAAGAGGAATTTAAACAGGTAGTTAATGACTGGTCATCCACTGAGAAAATATGGACCCAAACGCACAACTTTTGGGGCCGGAGCTCTCTCCCAGTCTCGGAATGAAGGGGAGACGTTTGATCGTGATCAATGTAACGGCACAGAACAGTTTCCCCTTGCTGCTGAGCTGACTTTATGGTTAGGACTTCTCAGGACATCTGGCATCTCTGCACCCACACGTAAGAATGCAGTCGGTCAAGACCCGGGTTGCAGATTTTCCCTTCAGGTGATCGCAACACCCAGGCTCCGCCCTGCGCCCTCACACACCCGGCCCTGCCCTTCGACGGCGTGTACCGGCAGGGACCTGGAGCACACGCCGAGCCCTCGCCGAGACTCTGCATTCTTGGGGGCAGGAATCGCTTCTCCTTGTTTCCCAGCACCTTAAAAACCCGGTTCGCACAAAGTTCTCAAAAAATATTTGTTGAATAAGCCAAATTGTTTTCATTTTGTTTTTGGATGACACATAAGTGTCCGTATTTCCGATACATTTTTAGAAATGCTATTATAACACCAAAACCTCTCTACTGCACTCACGAGTCGCACCAGAAGTGAGCGTGCGCCAAACGGGCCTAGAGGAAGGGCCCCGGTGTGGACGGTGGGCCCTATCGGGCAGCTAACCAGTCTCCTGCAGGCAACAGCCCCCCTCACCGGGTTAAGGCCGACTGAAACCTGTCCCGTTTCACTCACGGACCCTTCAGCATCGAGCCGCCATGCCCAAGTGTGGCTGCTGGGTGACTTGTTGAGGAAGCAGCATGGCTCCTCCTCTCACGAAATTCCAGCCTTAACAATTTTCCATTAATTCTTTAAATTCCCTCGAGATCACTAGTTTTGCAGGTGACACACTGCAAAGCCCCTCACGAACAGCGGTCTGAAGCAGGTGCTTGGCTGGGGACCGGATTATGCATCCCTGAAGCCCTTTCCTCTGGAAGCGGCTCAGGCAAGGAGGGCAATTCCAACTCTCCAACGCTCACACTTACCTCCCGCCACCTTTCAGCCCGTTACCCTCTGCACTTCCTTCTAAAACGATTCCGAGTAATTCTGGCTGCAAAGGTTCATGAGTAGGTGGGATTAATAACTAGTGTTTTCTTTCTGGCTGTGCCTTCTGTTGCTTTCCGTTTCCAATGAAGGGGCTTTGGCAAATACTCAGGTGAATGGAACAAGCCTAGAGCCTAAATGTTTTACATGTCAGCTGAAAAGTTTGTATGTGTGTTATAAATATCTAAGAAACAATGCTTACAACGAATTCTTTTTCTAGGACTTGGACGAACATCCCTTCCTTTAGGGAAGTGATTTGCTACGGGGTGGGGTGGATAATAGATATGAGGCTCACCCAGGGGCACTGTTCAAACTGCACCTTCCCCTCCCGAATACTGGTATATTCTTTCACGTTTTTTCCCTGGAGTCGAGGCTGACGCCTCAGTGACCTTTTGATCGCCGCGTGCCGTATCTGTGTGTGTGTCAGGAATTACTGTTTTCAGCTTAGGGAATGTTTCCAATTAGAATTCTACAAGCATACAAGACATTTTGTTTAAAGTACATGATTTATTTTTAGATGATCCCTCTTAGTCCTGCATGCATTGTTAGCACAAAAAGTTGCACTTGATCACAACGTCCTTTGAAGAGACAGTAGGTACACAATCACCATCTGAAGAGTTTCTTCGTAGATGGCCCAAGAATCCCAGGCCTTGGTAACACTGTCAGTAACCTACACAATGTTCGATAGAAAAATTTACCAAATGTCCTTTGTTTAATGTAAACAAGGCAAGGAGGCAAACAGAGTATTACAGTAACACTCTTTTACAGGGCCCGGAAATATGATTATCTATCATGTTCTAACACATCAAGTGTCACAATGACATGCATATTTTGATTAATTGTACAGCCCAAAATATAATTACCATATAATTTGTGGTTTTCGCGCTTCTCCACTGTTACTTTGGTCAATACCTATGAATTTCATAATTAAATGGTAATTGTATATGAATGCAGTAATTTTATGGAAATACGTTACCATGGATTATGAAGGTAATTCCCTTAATTTGTGCCCTGTAAAATTAAGTGTAACAATCTTTACACTAGCAACAGTGTAAGCAAGCTAAGGATTTTGGTCCTTATATATATACATATATGTACACATGTACACACACAATAATGTACAATTAAACCAAAAAGCTATGAATCCACTCACAGCTTCCATATTGCACAGACAGATACATTACAAGAACATAACATAGTTATAATGTGAGCACTACAATGATAATTGGCTAAGGACAGATCTGAGTTCTATCAAGTGAAGAATGTGGCTCATTACTAAAAATAACCTCAAAGACTATGTGGTTAGAAAGATTTAAAAAAAAAAAAATGTGCATAGCTATTTATACCACTGTGAAGCAAGGCTCAAATTCAGTTTGGAACTTGCAATCGATGGTTAAGGTGGTGCTTTCTACCCAACACAGTACATTTTAGTCACGGCTTTGCATGTACCAAGTGATAGAAATACTCAGCTTCTAAAAGACAGTCAGGAAAAAACTAACGATGTACTGAAATGTTTCGCTAACAAATCCAACTCACTGTGAGAGCTTGTGCTGGCTCCAGGTCTGAACTAAATATGAATAAAAGAAAGAGAAAGGAAGGGAGGGAGGGAGGAAGAGAAGGAAACCGAGAAACAAAATATACCTTAAGCTTTAGCTGATTACAAATCAAAGTCATTACAGTAACTTAGAAAAATATTTTTTAAGAAGCAGCATACACACACAAAATATAAGCATTAAAGCTTTTCTGAGCCTGGTTTCATGGATTAGCTACAGGGTCCCATCATGAAATCAAAGATAAAACAGCATTTGGTTTCAGGGGTGACCTCATGGCCGTTATACCTACTGGACACTATGAGAACACTAAGAAATATCTAGCATCTCTTAATGCCTTGTTTTCACACACCTACATCAAAGTAGGCTGTAACTCCGTCGAAAACTGGAGATGTCGCCGTGTTCCTTGCACAGACTGATGAGTAAATACCGCAAACTTAATAATGTTTTCCCATCATCAAAAGCCATGTAGAGAAAAGCATGCACAAAGTAGCCATCTCCCACGCTTCTGTTCCTTTGCTTAATAAATTTCTTAGAAGGAGCTAACAAAGATTTGCATTCAATTCGAAATTTGGTCTTTCTGTTGTTTTAACAGCGGTAAGCATTCTAGAGCCAAGAATATTCATAATCTTTTGATATTTTGTCCTTAATAAATAGCAAAAACTATAAAATCAATCAGAAACAGGAACGTAACAGAGTCAGCAGGAGGTGTGAAGCCTGCTCTGTGCACACACGTGCCACACTGTGCACACGCCACACTGTGCACGTGCCAACGCTCCACACAACACAGCTTCGTAGAAGGGGCGGCAGGAGCGGTCCCTCTGAAGCCAGGAAGTGTGGTGTGAAGTCTGCTCCCCGAATTACCAGTAAAAAAAGACGAGGAAAGTGCTGCTGCTTAACATCTCAACGAGAAAAGAAGGGAACTCAAAAGCCACGTATGTGCGGGATAAGCGGCACCCACGGGACGAGCGGAGAGGGCCTGAGCGAACAGCATTCTGCAAACCGGGCCCGCGCGCGCCGTGCCCGCGCAGCTCCGCCCAGCGACCCGCGCTGCGCACACACCATCCGCGCGCATACCCAGTTTACCCAGACTTCCACATGTAAACAGGACACCCTGGTCTGTTTGTTTTCAACTCTCTAGAATAATTTAAAACAAAAGACTGAACAAAATGGAAAAAAAAAATGTAAACATCAGGGAGGCCATTGGCATTTTGATTGCTGCCTAAGAGTTACCGGCCAGTCCCCACCTAGACAGGACCAGGCATTTCAGCAAGAAAATCGAATCTTAAAGCGATTTTATAAAACAATTTTTGAAGAGGGATAGAAAAAAAAAAAAAGAGGTTCTCAACCCAATATGTGTGAATTAGCTTTAAAAAACACTAGCTTAGCCAAGACTATCAACGGTGAGCGCAGATTCCACATCGTGGCGAAAGTGACACGGTTTAAATAAACTGGGACCCACACGTGAAACTCAATCACCTACATGGCTATGTGCACAAGAGTAAAAGAACATTTCTTTAAAAATATATATATATATTATATTAATCAAGAACTTTATTATCATATTAAATTGTTATTCTTAGAAAAGCTGAAGAAAGTTAATGGTTCTCTATGCATTTTTATGTCCTATTACTAATTCAACTCAGTTGATGGTCCCTGAATTGTATTTTTTTTCTCATTTATACTTTTTCATATTTTGTTTGATAAGAATTCTGACCTTAAAAAGTTATAAAATTAGTCTGTGGGGGTGGTTTTTTTTTTTGCTACTTATTAATCCAAAAGAATATAAGCATCTGAGTCCCAGAGAATGTCAAAATGCCTCGCTGCCCAAAAGGATATTGAAATAACAGAAACGTCAAAGTCCTGACATCAGAAATTCTGCAGCTTTTCCCACGGGCATCAGAAATGCTTATTTCCTGAAGTCCCTCCGACCGTATCCCGGATTCACGGACGTGCAGGCTTACACAGAGAGCCTTCAGGACAAAGCCGACGGAAACAACATCACGCAACATTTTACTGGCGCGCCCACGCGACGGGCTCGGAATGGTCCTGCCGGTTTCCTGCGATACTTCACTGGAAGGCTTCTCGTCTTCCCCGCCGGGCGCAGCGGAGTCGGGTGAAGTGCGCACAGCGGCCCGGCGCCCTCCGTGCCGGGGTGGCCTAGGGCGCGGAGGCCGCGTGGTACTTCACGAACGCGATGGCCGCCAGCTCCTTGCAGAACTCCTCCAGCACGATCACGCCCTCCAGCAAGGTGATGTGGTCCACACTGGGGGCAAGGAGGCCAGGGCATCAGCACACTGCCACGTGCAGGTGGGAGTTTTAGATTTTTTTTTAAAAAAAGTGAAACACTGACTTACATGGGGCCTTCCGGTTCCAAACCGAGCAGTCGCTTTCTGACTAGCAGCAGCTTGGGAGTAAAATCTTGAATACGCTGGATTCTCACCATAAGATCTCCAACCACCTGCATCAGAGAGAAGAAAGAACTCGATTCCTCGGATCAGCTCCCTGGGGATTTTCAGGATAAGAAAAAACACCCCATTTCCTTTCACTAAATGAAGAATGTCGCCTTTCACTACTCACATAACCATCTCTGACAGAGGGCTCAGGTCTATTCCTTACAACACCAAAGTCATACATGAATCACTTAAAAGAATGGATTTTTCTTGTTTCTCTACATTTTATAGTAAAACAGTTACTTCTAAACAGCAGATGTATATTTTCCTTTATGTCACACTCACTACCGGCAATGACGCTAAGATGTTAACGCGACAGTTTATCGGCCCTAAAGAACGTAACAAAACTGATCACTCACCCTGACGGTGACGGAGAAGAGCGATCGGCAGCCGGAGGCAAGGTTGATGTAAGGATCCAAAAGGTATTCGTGTATGTGCGGGTGAGGGAAGAGAGAAAGCCGAGACAACACCGAGGTCACCTGCAAGTTCACGTCATACGGCTGTGGAGGGGTAGAAAACAGAAACACATCAGGCATTATTTATAATGCCTACACCGGGGCACTTAATTTACCACGTTAATCTGTCTGTCCAAGAAGGTTAGGGCAAGGAATATCAACTTCACCTTAACAATAAGAAAATGTGACAAGCGGCTACGTTGGCTGCCCAAGGTCAAACTCTTCTCGGTCAGGACAGGGACAAGAACCTGGCCTCCTACAGTTTTCTGGGATTTTTTACATTCTGCTATGGCCCTTGGCATTTTCCTATCTTTCTAAAATCACCAAGGTTACAAACAATACGAAATGCTCCTGTTAAAAGGTGTTTTTTAAAAAATTAACACTGTGACTATACAATAATGTTATGAATACTTGATGTCATTAACTTCTCAATTATATCTGCAGAAATGAGCTACTTTATTACTTATCCATAGTAAATGTTTAATCCCAGCACGGTTATCCTGACCCTAACAGGGATATATACTAAGAAAATACAAGCTGGTTTTAAATGCTTGGTTAAGTATAGGACAAACAAACACACACACACACTAGAAGTACAGCACATTCCGTTAAGAAGTTAAAAGAAAAAAAAAAAGACTCTCTTTATTGATTACTATCAGAAACAGTACTGACCTAGTGAAATACTTAAGTGGTAATGTCTTTATTTGCTTTTCTGGTTATTAAAGATAGCAGGCTCACATAGTAAATTTATAACTCCCTAAGCTCACATAAACATTTAACTAAAATGCTAAGAAAAGTACAAGTACTTTAATACACGATTTTAAATTAATTCCAAACTGGTTAATTTCTATGTGGAGGCAAGTACCATGCCAGGTTCTTTTCTTTCCAGTGTACATCGCGGTGTGTAAAGCACTTCAAAGCTCTATCACCACTGTTTATGTGTCAATGAGGGAGGGAGGGATGGATCCTATAATCCCCAATGCATTTCTCCTGACAGTAGTGAAACATACATAGCAAAATACCAGCTGATGGTGATCTTTACCCACCTCGCAATAGGTAGCTTTACCTTTTTAATTTTAGCCCCCCATTATGAAAATGAGTATCATTCCCAATTTCTGTCTGATGAAGCATCTAATACTGTTCTGTTATTTTAACGGGATCAGAGTATTTAACAAGATCAAGATTCAATTTGAAATGACATTTAACCTTACAAGGTTGACTCTACTTGTATTTGTATAAACTGTACTAAAAGGCTTTCTGAGTTAGTCCGAAAAGAAAGCACTTTAATCACCTCCAAACATGTTAAAGAAGTTAAGACGATGGCCGATAATGAGAAGTAAAATATACAATTCTATAACAAATGTCAGGACAAATAAATGCTTTTAACAAAACAAATGCATCGGAAACCCACCCACTGTTGGCAATCGAGCTCTATGAAAAAGTCATCTAGTGGCAAAAGTAAGAAAACAACGATAAAACTACATTACTGAAGATCTAAACTAAGACTTGGGATGAGCCCATAATAAATGGTAACAAAATAATACGAAAATTAGTATTTTAAAATTCATTACCTGATCAAGGATTCTTCCCATCCTGTCAAATAAAACTTTCAAAAAATGGCCTTCAAAGAAAGTGGCTTCTAAGTTGCACTTTTCCAAGGCTTTGGGAGACCCAGGCCATTCCCATCTCAGGCAGATAGCACAGTAGTCCCGGAACTAGGGAAGAAGCATCTAGATCATTAAAGAGGCACTAACCACAAACCAACTGAGAGGAGACAGAAGGATTTCCTCAAGTAGGATTATCAGAATCCACATGCATGCTGAGTGCTGCTCTGCGTGAGGGGCCAGGGGGAAGACGACGTGACTCAGGCAGACCCCCAGGAGGGGCCTGGAGTAGGATTATACTCACCTGCACCGGTACATATGGATGGAAAAAGAGGCATATTTTAAGCTCACCAAAGTGCCCCCTAACGACTATGCTCACGCTCTCTCCTTTAGAGGAATTTAAACCTTTACTTATTTTCATTCCATATCTAGAGAACACTTAAAAAGCACAGTAAGTTCCAGCCACACTGTCAGGTCTGTTCTAAGGTCACCTGGAAGGGACGGAGGTGCACGCGGCTGAGGCCGAGCTCGGCCTTCCCGCGATGCGCCCGCAGGGCTGTGTGTAGACGGGACACAGCCCTGCGGCCCCAAGCGCGGCCCGCGGTGAATGACCACGAGCTGAGAGCAGCATTTGGAAGCTTCTACTGCACTTTAACTGAGTACATTTTATGTCCGTTGAATCCAATGAAATAATCAGGGCTTGTAATCTGTGCTTTTTCTTTTCATTTTTCTAGCAATTCATTTTTATTACAGTTTACAAAAGTGTTGGTCTCTGAGGTTGGAAATACTAAGAAACTGGTCATTCACTACACCAAGTTTATCACTGTGATAAACAATATGAATTTTTACAAGCACAAGAATATCTCATATAATAAAAAGAAATTTTAAAAGTCTTCCCTGGTATGTAATTTACTTGAACTGAAATGAAAGAAATTTGCAGCACAGTTTCCTTCCATATTCTTTCCCTTTGCAGACTCTCCTCGATAAAGCAAAATTACTTTGACCTCTCTAATTTGGAAATTACCTCAAATGAAAGCAAAACATATCCTCACCATGAGGCACTAACTTCATCTCTTAAAACAAAAACATTTAAAAATGATAAAAAAGCCAGTTTCTTCAATATATTGTGAGTTTCGAACTATTGGGCTTTTAATAGACAATTTTCTTTATAAAACCACACCCTAGTGTTTAGTAAGGCATTTTCATATTAATACTTCTGAAATTCTGACCTAGATAAACAGTAGTTTAATAAAAATGAAAAGGAAACTTTACAGAAAGAATAAAAGCAGTTTAAAAAATCCTGTTGGTACTACTGAGGTTGGTATTATTTCACTGCCTTATTGTTGCATGAAAGTACATTACTCAGTTATTCATGTTGTGGGTGGACTTGAGGTCAGGCTCAATGCATCAGGAATGAACTACAGGCATATACAAGTTAATTACGTATAACACACACTTAAGTCCCAATTAATTAAATGACAAACATTTTTCTGATTTGGGACATTTCAAAATTTGGAATTTTGTAAAATGTAAAATGCTACAGTCAAGAAGATGAAGAGAAGGTCATTTAATATAATAACTGAGAGGAGAGATTGAGAAAGTCACTTCAGCGAAGTAGAAAGCTAGAACGCGGGGGACAGAGGAGTGAGAGTGGGACGGAGGGACGGCGTCTAGAGGTTACTGTGTGGAGGAAAGAAGCCGCCTATGGGACGGACGCAAGGGCCGTGGCGGGCAGAATCACTTAAAGATCACCTTCTGGGTTAGCAGGGGAAAGGATCTGGGGAGATACAAAGTCAAGTACAGGCCCGGCCGGGCGTGGCTCAGCGTTTGAGCGTCGACCTCGGATCCAGGCGATCGGGGTTCGATTCCCAGTCAGGGCACATGCCCGGGTTGGGGCTCAACCAATGACTCTCTCATCATTGATGTTTCTATCTCTCTCTCCCTCTCCTTTCCTCTCTCTGAAATCAATAAAGATATATTTAAAAGAAAAAGTCAAGTACAGAAAGAAAGGAAGGGGGAGGGAGAGAGGGAAACAGGAAGAGGGAGCATTAGAGAAATCTTGAGACAGGGACGCAGTCCGTGAAATGCAAAGTAAGGCCACCTGCGGGAAGTCACAGTAGTGAGAGTGGCGGTCAGGTCTTGCAGAAAAAGGGAAGCCTTGGGAGAAATGACGGTGGGCAAGGTGACAAGGCGTGTGAGTGCATTCTCATTCGATTTCATTTCAGAAGATTAGCTACCACACTTACCTGCCTATGGGCATCGCGGAGGTAGGTGTCATATCCAGTGCCCTCAACGTGGTAGGATGATTTTGCTTCATCCGGTACCAGACAGAGAAAACTTAAGTGAAAAAAGCCATAATCAATAACATAATACCCTCACAACTCAGTACCTTTATATGTATTAAAATATCTAGCGATAGCTTCAGTTTGGTGAAGTATTAACGCAAATGGAAGCTTGGAAAAGAAAATTGTATGTTAAGTACTTCTCTTGAACAGTCTTACTGATTAAATACTTTCATTAAAGTTTTTATTAAAAAATTGCTCATTCCTCTCAAGTAAGCCTGAAATGACTTTTTTTTTTTGCATTATAGGACAATGACAGATTGCCATGAGATTTGTTAATTTCAGGAAACTGGCTTTCAGGTAAGTGAATTTAAGATTTTTATGCACCCTAATTTTGTATCTTGAGCGACATGCTGTTTTCTCTGTCATCTGTCAGAACCAGGCATATCAGTAATAGAACTGCAAAGGAAGCTAAAGAAGAAAATTGCCACAGAAAGAGCACTTAAAAAAAAAAGTAAAAACACAAACTAACAAAAAGGAATAACCTATGCTTAGCATATATGAATACATGTCTAATAAATACGACTTGTCAAACTGGAGATTCTCCAGGTTGTTAAATGGGAATTACTTAAGATTACTTACATATAAAAAATAGGGTATTTTGAAGGTCAGTTTAACCTCTTGTGTTTATTTAGATTAAGGAGAGCCTTTCTCTTTTGCTACCATAGTTGCCAGAGCATGGCAAAGATCCGACACAGTGTTTAGATTAAATAGGAGAAGACTGAGTTCGTATTACAGCTCTGTGACAATCTAAAGGCAGGGCTATTGCTTGTTATAAAAACAAATAAAAGTGATGCAAGTTGTCACATATACACAGCAACTCACCTATTCACAATTTTATGCACTTCCGTCTTCCCGTCGTTTTTGGGGTGGTCTGGAGTAGCCGGAGGCGAAGAGCTAAGCCACTCTTGGTTTGACAAAGTGTTATCTGGTGAAATGTCAGTAAATAATGGATCTTCTTCCAGATCTCTAAGTTTAATTTAATGACGTATAAGAAAATATTTTATTATATTTTCTAAACCAAAAGATTCTCTGCTGTGTTCTTAAAAATAATTTCATTCTTGCATGGTTTTGTTTAAAAAAATTAACAATGTGTTTATATTTTATAAAGAAATTAGCATTTTATACTAACATCGAACTCTCAAGAATATAGTGACTTTGTTAGATTTAATGAAGAGACAATACTACCTGTAAATTTAAGGGGAGGTAATATTCAGACATTTAAGTTTTATTTTTTTAAAAACTTTCAAACCATTATCGGTTTTTTATGAATAAGAAAATAAGAGGCGAGGAAATTACGAATCTACATGACATGCTAACCTCGCAGAGCTGGCTGACACTTACACTGCTCCTGCTATCAGTCCGTTCTCTAGTGCATCTTTATCTTCTGGGCACACAGGTTTATATTCCGTATAATTTCTTTCTTCAAGATTTCTTAGGACCAAGTTGTAAAGAATGTGCTCGTTGGGTTTTTGTAAGAGATGTTCAAACATCCTCAGTGTCATTATGCTTATCTGAAACCAAAAATGATACAGGCTGACTGAAAAACGTCTTTCAATAAATTATTCTTCTTGCCACCCTAGAAGTCATGGTGTCGATTGTTAAAAGAGGCTGGGGTCAAAACGTCACAAGTATATTAAAATCAGTGTTCCCAAGACTCTAGGTCAAACTCTAAATCATTACAGTGCTTACCTCGTCGGATATGTGGTCACAATGTTCAATTAACCTATGCCTTAAAGGGTGCCTGTGCATTTCTGCCAGAGTTTCTGGTTCCCTCTGATCTCCAAGGATGAAAAATACCATTTCTTGAAGCAAAACTCTGGAGGTGACTTGCCGGACAATGCGATGGAGCAAAGCAGTTGATGTCAGGATGCCCATCTCAGAACTGGCACGGCAAACAGGCAATTAGGGGCAAAAATAATGGGAAAACAGGAATTTTTTATTTAATTTTTTAAGGGGCTACTCACGTTTGCATTAACTGAGGCTCCATAACACCAATAAAGAATCTTTCGTGAATGGCTTTGGCAAGAGCAACAGCAGTAGTCTAGAACAAAGGACAAGCACCGTTACCATTTTTTCAATGGAAAAGAGAGATTAATTTCTAACATCAGTAAATCACCCTTCACCTTCCACCTGAATTAATGTGGAAAACAAACTTGCCTACGTTAGATGTTAGTTACTAAGTTCTTTACATTTTATCTAAATTTCCAAAAACAAGACAAACAGGATAAGAATATCATACCAATTACCTTATGGTAGTAACATCAATGGGTGTTATACAATAGAGGGAACTGAAGGGAGGCCAATGCTGTCTTACGAAGGGCCATACTATGATACTTAAAGAAATATCAAGGCAGAATTCCCTTTATATTCTGCCTTTATACACACATATATGTACACTTCTTTTGTTCACTTGGTTTTACTTATTTTACTAACTGTGCTATCCTAAGATGATTAAGATATACTTGGGGACATAAACTAAGGATTCAAAGTTCACTTAATAGACATTCCCATTTTAAAATGACCAATAAACCACCAAAAAATATTCAAACCTTTTGTGCTTCCTTTATGAGTTGATCGCAGTAATCAAACCAGGAAAGAAATGAAATTAAGGCTCGTTTTCCTGGAAATGCCGAAGCATCTTCTTTATGACTATATGAGTCCAAACTGTAGGGCGCAGAAGAAATGCCTTGTTATCCAAGAGCATGAGTCCAGTTCAGTACACATGGAAAAATGCAGGCACGTGAATGAACCTACACAGGACGATGTATTTACACAGGCAACGCAGCAGGACTACCAGAAGAGGGTTTTATAAAAGGAAGCCAAAGATTACAGAAAACCTTTTCAATGAAAGCTGTAAATAACGTTTTCTCATTATGTGGGCAGAGAGGAACTAATGCAGGATAGAGCTGCGGGGGGAAGACTGTTATACAGCCCCTCAGACTTGTGCCATGAACTTGACCAAGCAACAGGAAGGAGGAGTCGGAGGTTCTCGGCGCTGGGAGAGGAGACGGGGAGGGAAAGGAGGACCTGCAAAGGGAAACGACTGGCCTGCTTCCCCTCCTGCCTCAAAACAGACATAGGACAGTAAAGGTGACCGGTGGGTCTTCCCGGCAGATGCTGGCAGAATGCCGGGTGGGTAAAAACAAGTGAAAACCAAAGGTGGTCAAAAATGCACCGGAAAACAGTAACAAAATACTATCCTGCTTGCAGATGGTGGGAATATGGGTGAGGTTATTTATGTTGCTTTATACCTTTTTAAAACCTATAAATGTTCCACGACAATCATATTTCCCTAGGAGAATCAAGGGGGGAGCCCTAAAAGATGGGGAGAAGAGGCGGAAGAGCAAGGTAGGAGGAAAGATGCTACAAAAGGAGATTATTTTTAGGACTTTGTTTTTTTTAAACAGATAAAGTCATTGGTGTCAATGCAGTTAAGGTCTTAATGAACCACTATAATAGACAAAGGAAAAGTAGCTTAACTGTAACCACTGGATTATTCCCATACGAATTCATTACCACTAATTGATAACAAATTTAAAACAGGCCTCTCAAAACAATCCCATTCAATGATAACTAGCAATGTTTTTCACAACAAAAGGTTCCTATTATTGCAAAATAGAAATGGATTTCAAAGTAGAGGTGTGAGGAGTCAGCTTTATGGAAAAACACAAATAATGGCTCTTACCCCCAGTTAATTGCTTCCACTGTCTCAATGTCTAAGGGGTCCACTGACTGAGGTAGGGCCTTGTACAGGGAGGCGAGCCTGTCGGTCAGTAGTTCGCACAGGCAAGTGCTCTGCGTGAGGCACTTGGCAGCCTTGGGCTCCGGCAGGCTGGCCAGCAGCATCAGGCCCTCGCAGGCCTTCACGGCTATTCGGCCGTCCTGGGGAAGGGGAAACACACACACCTTCGATTCTCAAATCAGATATCCGACGAGTCGTTTAAAAAAATTTAACTTTAAGGGATTTAATGCTTTACACTAAAATAAGAATAGATTTTTTTTTCTATTTTAAATGCACATAACTGTGATCATATTAGAGGGGAAGTTAAAGATGACGACTCACAGGACTTCTAGTAAGATTTAACAAAGAATTCACTAGGTTGTAATCTTGGTTTGGGCGAACGACTGTGGCCTCCGGCAGTGACGTGACGCTGAGGTTATCCAGGCTCGTGGACAGGTCGTCCGTCTGATGAGAAGGATCATCTTCTAACTCTGTCTGCTCCGTTCCAGCCGCACCAGACAGCTCCTCTGGCTGACCGGGCTGTCCCATGTCTGTTGACAAGGAATCTTGACCTTTTCCTGTGTCTTCTGAGGTTACATTTGCTGCTCCTTTGGAGGCCAAGGATTTCAATTTATTCTGCAAAGGGATACAGGTTTTGTAAGATTCACATTAAAAAAAAAAGCCTCATAAAACAGAAATCGTATTTAATGGATTTTTCTATCATTAGCATTCAATGTCTAGCCAGCACAGCAGTAGATACAAGTGTTTTGACAAATGAAAAGACTCAGACTTTAACAACTGTGTTTTAGATATCCGAAACCTGCAGAGGCCTTTCTGACACACTTTACACTATCTACAAAATTATTACACCGACCATAGTAATAAACACTACTAGTGACACCTATTTGACTACTTCTGAAAACAACTGATGTTATAGGGAAAAAAGGCTCTGGAGGTAGCAATTGCAGTTCATTGTTTTCTCATCACTGGGCTTCTAGGGCTATATAGCCTCCACGCTGATTCTCCTAAGATCAGTTTTCTAAGTTTGTTTCTTATACTTCTGCCCTATATAAAAACACGGACTATAACTAGGTTGGAAGCAGGGGGTTCGAGTGAATATATTCAGGAGGCCCTAGAGGCTGACTCCGTGGCCTTGTGCAGGAAGCAGGTGAAAGGGATGAGTGCCCGTGTTCCTGAACCAGAAAGGCTGCCTCCTGCATGCACCCGACCAGGGATCGAACCCACAACCTTGCTACGTGCCCTGACCAGGAATCAAATCCACAACCTTTTGGTGTATGGGAGGACACTCCAACCAACTGAGCCACCGGGCCAGGGCAAGATAATCTTAACTGAAGCAGATGATTAGTTTCAAGGCAAAAGTATCTTGCTTTCTATTGGATGCTAAGCTCGAAAAGCAAGTCACATACACGTTTGAATTTATTGGAAACCTAGTTACAGTCCCTGTTACTTCCTGTTGGAGTCACTCCATCAGCTTCTGAGTTCATTTCCCTGTTTTTCTCTCTCCTCTCAAAGGAATCCATTGCACAAGATGCTGCCACCAATTTGACGACTCCTAGTCCATCTATCCAGGTCCCCTCTCACCACACAGACTAGTTACACTGCTTGCTGAACACACCATAAACTTTACTTATGTTCGCCCATCCGTATCCAAACACACCAAGGCTCGGATCAAAGACAACCTCTTCCCTGAAATCTTCCCTGATGGCCTAGAGCAGACGTCATCTCTTCAACCTATAAACACTTAAGGAGCATCGGTTCTGCATCTTTCCTGATACTCACCTTATCTACCCTGGATTATGTACTGGACCTGAACATTAGTCTCACCTTCGTCACCAGCCCATAAACTCCTTTAGGGCGAAGACAGCGTCTCACTCATTCACCACATGCATTTAACCCACAGTGAGGCATCTGTGAGATGATATAACCCTCCTACAGATTAGATTTCAGGGGAACGTGCTTGAGAACTGCAAAGTACTTTTGTGACTATACTTACAAATAATGAAGTTGTATTTCTCTGAAGATTTATTCGTTCAGTAAGTGTTAATTAAACAGTTAGGCACTGTGCTGGTACCTGAGAAGCTGTGGGCACCTAAAGATTAATGGAGCAGGGCGCTTGTCCTCAAGGAGCTTACTGACCAGCAGGAGAATGTAAAATGCACGTGAAAACTCTAACACCAGGGAAACGGTAGGAACTGACATTAAAAGTATATGAATCGTCAATTCTCAAAGCAACTTGAACATAAGAAGACTATGAAGAGTCATAAGTATGCCATACCTCCAGAAAAAAATTAACCAAATAGGGATCTTCCTTCAGTTTTGCGCATACAATACAGAGAAACTGAATTTCTTCATTTTCCGTTGGTGTTGCAAGGACTTCGCCACAGAGTCGAATTAATTTCTGTCAAAAAGTTTTTCAGAAATGTTTAAAGTTAGGTTATTTTTTTACAAGTATGTAAATAGCCATCCATGTACCTTAAGGATATTTAAAGTTTTCAAATACTGCAAATAGCTGGCATTCTTCAGAAGAACACTATTTATAATCCCCGATACCAAAACAAGTTCACTTAGCAAATTTTTCAGATACATGACCCTAAAAAACTAATGAAGTATATAAAAAAACCCTCCCTGAGATGCCAAGGAGATGAGTTAAAGGAAAATGAATGTAGAAAAATTTAAAAGAGACATATAAAGACATGAGGCACATTTAATACCACGCCATGCAGAGAAGAAAGCTCAAGTATTCGCTAATGTCCATGTTATTTTCAGAATAACTTCCTGTATTACTTTTATTCTTAGAAAAATTATATAAAATGACGTATCTATAGCAGAAGAAATCAAACCAAATAGCTGTGCGCGGGGGAAGGTACCTGCACGGGCCGGTGCACGTTGATGTGCGGAAGGAGCGGCTGCCTGATCCTGCCCAGGAGCTTGGTGTAGAATCCCAGCACCTGCTGCTTCATTCCCGGAGGGCACTGGGCACGGGCACGGGCACGGAGGGGCGGGCGGGCGCAACCAAGAACAGAGCAGACAACACAGTCACGCTTACTCAGAGGCTCACAGCGTGGGAGAGGCAACGGCCGCCAACGCCGTCGGCCAGGACACGACTGTCCATCGGTCACTAACGACTGGCATTCTGGAAACACAGTGACGTCTGGGACTGCGATCCAGCACGTGGGCCCATCGGCCGATGTAATTATAAACAGCACGGTCACAACACGCTGTTGAGGCCAGAGTTTGGTTTGGGCGACGACGGCCTGCTCCTGTTCTAAACGCTAAGGTAACATGAACCTATTGGAGTTACCTCCTTGGCAAAGTAAAGCCGGAATCTTGTTACTTACGCTGATGACAGGTCATCAATCAGTGACTGTCCATCGCGTAAATAAGTGCGGGAGTAAATAAAGCCTAATACATACGTGAATTAAAGGATGCCTATGGTACAAACTTCGGTGATTTAGTTCAACACTGCTGTTTTAAAGGAGTTGCAAAATTATTTAAATTATGATTACAGGCAATTAATATTTAATAAAGAAGTTTTTATAGCATCCCCATTGTTTTAAATATTTGCTCAAAAGTAGGTCAACCCGATGACTACTCACGTTGTGAATAGAGTATGAATTAACGTTATATGTTCTATAATTAACCTACTTACACTGCCTCTGAACTGAAATACAGTCTCAAAATGAGTAGCATTTCTAAAGCATCATCGCAGACATGCTACCCAGAAATATATAAACTATAATCTTAAGCACAGTATTTTTTAAGATAGTAAATGCCTTACATGATTCAGATAAAACACTAATAGTTACAATCACCTATATCAGAACATATTTACTAGTACTACAATTACTAACACTTGCTCAAAAACGAATTAATATTTATTCCACTTAGTGCTATACAATCCCTGCCTCCAATGGACAGGAACGAAAGAAAGGTGGAAGGGAATGAACTGCAGGTTCTTAGGGAGATGTGTTGCCTAGAAAATGCAAACTGAATGAATTCAACTTAAAAGGGAACTGGTATTATAGATTAGTTCAGAGGAAATTGTCTTTAAACTATTAACTCATACCTCTATTTGCTAGTTAAACGTGTGAATTAGCTGGGATTTTTTTCAGTTTGATTTTCATGTATAGTACAGAAATTCACAGAGCAGAACCACAGGTGTTTAGAGTTGAGGCCACTTGGTGACCAACCCCTTGTTTTGAAAGAGGCGGAAGGTTAACCAAGGAGGCTTCCTGAAGGCCACAGTGTATTCGTGACAAGCCAGGCCTCCTAGCCTGAACCCAAAGTTCTTCCCCTACCCCTACGGCAGCACACGGTTTGAAGCCTATCTTTAGAAGCAATTTGAAAGTTCTGCGGCACAGAATATTATTTATTTAACATCAGCTTTGCAAGGATTTCTCAAGACTCATGAGGCCGGAAAACTTGGTCTCCACTTAGTCGTAGAGTGAATGTCAGAATAATCAGTGACATTCTCTTTCGGGATTGTGAAAAGTAATTCCTATTTTTGTGACCCAGTTTTCACTGGGTTCCTTCTCATTTCCTTCGGTTCTGAGCACATGTACTTGAGTTTATTTTCACAAATGTTGACACTATAATTCTAAGCAGCCCAAGTACCAGTTGTTGTCTGGAGCGTTTGGGAGTTTTGCTATCTCTGTGGAAAGTCATATTCACAAAGGCTGCCCAATTTTCTTTTTTGCATGATACTGAAATCCTGCCACGCTTAACACATACCTCTACAATAAAATTTAGTACCTGGCAGCATCGTTATCTCTAAGACATGAATACATGTATTACGTGCCCACGAGCATGCCGTGGATGAGAAACTTACGTCGGCTTTCCCTAAGGTATAGAGCGTTTCCAGGATCTTGTGATGGAGCAGGTACTCCATACATGGCCCCGTCTCTCCAGATTCCCGTTCCCTCTCCTCTTGTACCAATATATCTAACATCTGCTCCAGATGAGATGGAATATTGGTATCTGTCACTGGGGCTTTGTCATCTAAACAATAAAAAAACATTCGTCAAACAGCCAAGCATTTTTAAACTGCACATTTAAACTAAATATTTTATTAAACATTAAACTGGAATATTTTAAACTGCCTTTTTAAACTAAAATACTCTTGTATTTCTCTATTCCTATTCAAACTGGGAAAGATCTGAACTATACACTTCAGTGAGGCTTATACTCATGGGATAATTATCTTTGCCAGAATTGAGATGATGCTTTTGCCATTTTTAAAAATTGATTTTTAGAGAAAGAGGAAGGGCGAGAGAGAGAGAAACATCAATGTGAGAAACACTGATCCGTTGCCTCCTGCCTGCGCCCTGACTGGGGATTGAACCCGCAGCCTGGGTGTGTGCCCTGACCAGGAATCGAACCCACAACCTTTTGGCACACAGGACAACACTCCAATCAACTGGCCACAATGGCCAGGGAGCTTTTGCCATCTTACTCAAAACTGAATCAATATTCTGAGATCGTATTGAGTAAGAATTCTCCTGAGAAGCAGCTTTGACTTTGGGAGTAGCTGTCTATTAGTAAGAGAGATGTCAGATATTTTTAATAGGGCCTTTTTCTTTGAGCTCCTCATGTTTTCTTAGATGGAGATGAATCAGGGGCATTTAGGTGTTGGACTTCCCAGTGCTAAGAAGTAATGCAGCAGCAATCAAAACAGAGCCTGTGCTCTCTACGTTTCTACGTTATTAAGTTTAATGTTCAAGGCCAACCTGTTTCTATATAAAGATACTTAAAATTCATACCTTCTAACTGGCTAATCGAAAAAAAAAAATTTTAATGACAAGTACATACAAAATTCTTATATTTACATGTATTTTTTCTAATCATGTTCCCATTTTCCCCTAAATGGCTCTTTTTTCTAAATTGTTATGCATGGCTTAACAAACTTAGGGAATATACCGAGTGGGGCAAATGTAGGTGTACAGTTGTTCGTATGGAAAATACAATAATTAATAAATAATACAAGAATAAACTGTGTTTCATGTACTCACAACTGGAAACCTTCTGCCCCTCCCTGTATATAGTCTGATTTTTATTCATTGCACAAATATAAAGAATTTTTTTTTTTAAGACAAATCCCCCATGATCCTATCAGTTTGCCAAATTGACTACTATCATTTTTCCATGTCTCCTTTCGGTGAAACGACATGTGTCCCATCTGCGTGTCCCCTAGTGCTCACCCATACATTCCTCGAGGGAGCCCGCCGTGCTATGGAGCAATGCTTGGGGACTTCCCTACTTCAGAGGCTGCCAAACTTTACCCACAGGACAAACCCAGCCTTGCCATCTATTTTGATAAATAAAGTGATATTGGGACAAAGGAATGTTTACTCTTTTACATACTGTTGATGGCTAGTTTGCGTCACAACAACAGAACTGAGTAGTTACAACAGAGACCGTATGGCCTCCTTCAGGCCCTTTACGGAAAAAGTTGGCCAACCTTCACCTATTAACACGCGTTCCCCATATTCACTCTCCATCCTGCCGATTCGCTGAGATAAACAGAAGCAACCAGAAGGTAACTTCGGAAGACTCCCGGCACCACATCTACCCCCTTGCTGCATCATACCCAGATGGTCTGCTTCCTACCTCATTTTTATGGAGAAACTGTCCACAACCTATTGAAGGCTAAGCCTCCACTTGTGCACTAGGTCCCACCCCCCGCCTGCCTACTTAGGGAGATAGCTCAGAAATGATCTCGTCGGACTCTTGTACCCATCCTTCCCTCCCCTACTAGATCATTCCTATCAAATTATAGATTGCTTACGTCCCACCTTTAAAAAGAACAACCCTCTTTTGACCCCACATCTCCCTTGGGCTGCTGCTCCGTTTCTCAGCTCCCCTTTGCACCAGCATTCCCCGAGAGAGCAACCTGCCTAACTCTGGGACACGAGTCTCTCTTGGTCTCCTTTGCTACTGTCCTCATGGTCCTAACCCCTAAACACTGAGTCCAGGGCTCAGTTCCTGACCACCGTCTCTTCCATCCGTCCTTAGCCCACAGATAGTCTCATGCACCCTCATGACTCTCAATGGCACACCCCTCGTTTAGACCTCTGCCCTGAATTCCAGATGCCTATTTCCAGTCCTCTACTTGACACATCCAGCCGGACAGATAATGAACACCACAAACTTAACGTGGAAAACTCTCTTCCCAACCTGCCCCTCCGGCAGCCTCCTCACGCTCTGTTTTTCCAGTTCAGCTGCCGAAGCCCAACCTTTGGAGTTCTCCTCGACGCTTACTCTCGCACACCCAGGATCCAATCCATCGACAAAACCTCCTTCAAACCTGCCCAGAACACAATCACTCTGACCACCTCCACCCTGGGCGAGGCCACCATCACCTCTCCAACCACTGCCGCGGTCCCCTAACTGCTCTTCCAGGGTCACCTCTGCGTCCCTTCAACCTAAATGTGCAAAGAAGCCAAAGTGGTCGCTGTAAAACAGATTCTGTTACACCTCTGCTCAAAGCCCTCCAGTGGCCGCCCACCTTGGAGGCTAAGCCAAGGCCTTACAATGGCTTAGAGGGTCCTGTGTGAACCCGCACGCTCGCCTGCTTGCTGTCATCTCCCGCCACCTCTCTCCCTGCCCCCTCACTCAGGCCACAGGGGCTTCCTCCCAGTTCCAGGAATCTGCCGGTTCCAGCCCCAGGGTTTGTGCGCGCCTCCCCTTCCTGCACGTCTCCCCGCCCCCAGACTGGCTTCCTCTCTCCCTCAGACTCCAGCTCAGCCCTGACCTGGGGCTATGCGGTTTTCTCCGACCTAAAAGGGCCCCACCTTCCGGCCCAGCGCACACTCCTATCCCCCTCAGCNCAAACAGCCAAGCATTTTTAAACTGCACATTTAAACTAAATATTTTATTAAACATTAAACTGGAATATTTTAAACTGCCTTTTTAAACTAAAATACTCTTGTATTTCTCTATTCCTATTCAAACTGGGAAAGATCTGAACTATACACTTCAGTGAGGCTTATACTCATGGGATAATTATCTTTGCCAGAATTGAGATGATGCTTTTGCCATTTTTAAAAATTGATTTTTAGAGAAAGAGGAAGGGCGAGAGAGAGAGAAACATCAATGTGAGAAACACTGATCCGTTGCCTCCTGCCTGCGCCCTGACTGGGGATTGAACCCGCAGCCTGGGTGTGTGCCCTGACCAGGAATCGAACCCACAACCTTTTGGCACACAGGACAACACTCCAATCAACTGGCCACAATGGCCAGGGAGCTTTTGCCATCTTACTCAAAACTGAATCAATATTCTGAGATCGTATTGAGTAAGAATTCTCCTGAGAAGCAGCTTTGACTTTGGGAGTAGCTGTCTATTAGTAAGAGAGATGTCAGATATTTTTAATAGGGCCTTTTTCTTTGAGCTCCTCATGTTTTCTTAGATGGAGATGAATCAGGGGCATTTAGGTGTTGGACTTCCCAGTGCTAAGAAGTAATGCAGCAGCAATCAAAACAGAGCCTGTGCTCTCTACGTTTCTACGTTATTAAGTTTAATGTTCAAGGCCAACCTGTTTCTATATAAAGATACTTAAAATTCATACCTTCTAACTGGCTAATCGAAAAAAAAAAATTTTAATGACAAGTACATACAAAATTCTTATATTTACATGTATTTTTTCTAATCATGTTCCCATTTTCCCCTAAATGGCTCTTTTTTCTAAATTGTTATGCATGGCTTAACAAACTTAGGGAATATACCGAGTGGGGCAAATGTAGGTGTACAGTTGTTCGTATGGAAAATACAATAATTAATAAATAATACAAGAATAAACTGTGTTTCATGTACTCACAACTGGAAACCTTCTGCCCCTCCCTGTATATAGTCTGATTTTTATTCATTGCACAAATATAAAGAATTTTTTTTTTTAAGACAAATCCCCCATGATCCTATCAGTTTGCCAAATTGACTACTATCATTTTTCCATGTCTCCTTTCGGTGAAACGACATGTGTCCCATCTGCGTGTCCCCTAGTGCTCACCCATACATTCCTCGAGGGAGCCCGCCGTGCTATGGAGCAATGCTTGGGGACTTCCCTACTTCAGAGGCTGCCAAACTTTACCCACAGGACAAACCCAGCCTTGCCATCTATTTTGATAAATAAAGTGATATTGGGACAAAGGAATGTTTACTCTTTTACATACTGTTGATGGCTAGTTTGCGTCACAACAACAGAACTGAGTAGTTACAACAGAGACCGTATGGCCTCCTTCAGGCCCTTTACGGAAAAAGTTGGCCAACCTTCACCTATTAACACGCGTTCCCCATATTCACTCTCCATCCTGCCGATTCGCTGAGAAAAACAGAAGCAACCAGAAGGTAACTTCGGAAGACTCCCGGCACCACATCTACCCCCTTGCTGCATCATACCCAGATGGTCTGCTTCCTACCTCATTTTTATGGAGAAACTGTCCACAACCTATTGAAGGCTAAGCCTCCACTTGTGCACTAGGTCCCACCCCCCGCCTGCCTACTTAGGGAGATAGCTCAGAAATGATCTCGTCGGACTCTTGTACCCATCCTTCCCTCCCCTACTAGATCATTCCTATCAAATTATAGATTGCTTACGTCCCACCTTTAAAAAGAACAACCCTCTTTTGACCCCACATCTCCCTTGGGCTGCTGCTCCGTTTCTCAGCTCCCCTTTGCACCAGCATTCCCCGAGAGAGCAACCTGCCTAACTCTGGGACACGAGTCTCTCTTGGTCTCCTTTGCTACTGTCCTCATGGTCCTAACCCCTAAACACTGAGTCCAGGGCTCAGTTCCTGACCACCGTCTCTTCCATCCGTCCTTAGCCCACAGATAGTCTCATGCACCCTCATGACTCTCAATGGCACACCCCTCGTTTAGACCTCTGCCCTGAATTCCAGATGCCTATTTCCAGTCCTCTACTTGACACATCCAGCCGGACAGATAATGAACACCACAAACTTAACGTGGAAAACTCTCTTCCCAACCTGCCCCTCCGGCAGCCTCCTCACGCTCTGTTTTTCCAGTTCAGCTGCCGAAGCCCAACCTTTGGAGTTCTCCTCGACGCTTACTCTCGCACACCCAGGATCCAATCCATCGACAAAACCTCCTTCAAACCTGCCCAGAACACAATCACTCTGACCACCTCCACCCTGGGCGAGGCCACCATCACCTCTCCAACCACTGCCGCGGTCCCCTAACTGCTCTTCCAGGGTCACCTCTGCGTCCCTTCAACCTAAATGTGCACAGAAGCCAAAGTGGTCGCTGTAAAACAGATTCTGTTACACCTCTGCTCAAAGCCCTCCAGTGGCCGCCCACCTTGGAGGCTAAGCCAAGGCCTTACAATGGCTTAGAGGGTCCTGTGTGAACCCGCACGCTCGCCTGCTTGCTGTCATCTCCCGCCACCTCTCTCCCTGCCCCCTCACTCAGGCCACAGGGGCTTCCTCCCAGTTCCAGGAATCTGCCGGTTCCAGCCCCAGGGTTTGTGCGCGCCTCCCCTTCCTGCACGTCTCCCCGCCCCCAGACTGGCTTCCTCTCTCCCTCAGACTCCAGCTCAGCCCTGACCTGGGGCTATGCGGTTTTCTCCGACCTAAAAGGGCCCCACCTTCCGGCCCAGCGCACACTCCTATCCCCCTCAGCCTGCTTCATTTTCTCTCCAACACTTTTCATGTGACACACTGTATATATGTGTCTACTTATTGTTTGCTCCCCCCAATCAATATGCTAGCTGTTAGGGATTTCGTCTGTCTGATGGTTTTTACCCACCCCCACCGTGCCTAGAACAATGCCCTACACATAGCAGGTGCTCAATAGGTATATATTTTTAATGAATCTAAAAGAGGAATTAAAAATAAAGAAATTGTTTCTACATTTAAATATGAAATAACTGAAAACCAATCTGAAATATAATTTAATATTGCACAAGTTTTTCTGTTTTACTGTCATAAGCACTGTTTCTTACCCGAAGTCTCTATGTAGTAATGGGTAATTGCCTTCCAGTGATAAACGAAATCTTCTTGCAAAGGGAGAGAAGGTGCCAGCTGCACAAACACACACAAAAAGACCCCAGTTAAGGAAATGGCATGAAAGTTTCCCATAAAGTGTACCTCCCTCCCTGTCTACGAATCGCGCAAAAGCAACGTAAAGACGAGAGGTGAGCTTTAATTTGCTCCCATAGGCCAGATGCCAAAGAGAAACAAATGAGTCAAGTCCACGAAAGTAAAAATGATTTATTAAGAGGAAAACCACATTTATCAACATTATTATTAAACGACAGTATTGTTTTGTTCCCTCCCCCTGAAACTAGTAACTACATATGGCTCCAAAAGTCACGGTGTTCGATGAAAACACACGATATTCTATTACTGAAGTATCAGTAAAACGGCCTTATCAATAGCCAGGGATCTTTGTACCTGGGACTTTGACATGCCAAACAGTAAAACGGTGCCGTGTAACTAGTTACACATCACCGCTGCTAGAACATACGCCAAAGTCAGCCCGTAATCAGATTAAAACCGTCCCTGCTCTCAGTGACGGACATGTAAGCCTTTTCTTTTTCAAGCCTACATTTAGGCAGGGCGTTATTTTCGGCGAAATAGCTACGTGAACAAGACACTACCAATTTAAAGTCCACAGAGTCAAAAATGTTTTACAGTTTAGCTTTGAAATTTACTTCAGAGGTTTTAAGACCAAAATTACAGCCCTTCAGCAAACCTACAAGTACTTCAAACGTGTGTGGAATGGATAGAAAAGACTGGGTGCACCTTCAACATTTTCTTTGCAGAGGGAGCGAGAGAGCGCGCGGGCCTGCCCTAACGTCAATAAACTTTGGTCGGGAAGCACAGAGTCGACCCAGCTCGCTTAGGAACAAACAGGTGTCTCTTCTGGAAACCTACACTCTGGCAGAGGCGTCCTCCGATTTCATGTTCTCCCTCTACAGACAACCCAGGGGTCATGTTACCCCTGCACCTCTGCTCCGTCCCCCTTGATGTCTTGGTGTCCCCAGCAGAGAACTCAAAGTTCAAAGCCCCGTGAAAACAACTTCCAAACTGTTGGGCAAGTTCTAAACACTGGCTTCCGTCCAGAGGATGAAATGTATTTGGGAGGGAAAGGACCTGACAACTTGTCAGCAACCATGGTCATCTTAACACTAGCTCTTCCATACTCCCCGTTTCCCCCACTCTGAGTCACACCTCATTTCCACACAGAACGTTATGGGATTTTTAAAAACACTTTAAGATCTTTAACAAAGGAGTTAAAACCTTTGGGATTGCTATACTTCAAGAACACGAAGAGAGAAATCGCTTTGGGGAGATTGAGGAACAAAATTAGAAAGAAAAATAAGAATGAAAGTGTTAATTTGGGGAAAGAAGCTTCCTGAAATTTTTAGATTAAAAAAATCTGTCCTGATCAGCAGCTTGTTTTTAGAATCGTCTTCAAAACATCAATTTCTCTCTTTTCTTAGACCTGTTTATTTAATATAACAACTTTAAATATAGTTAAATGTATTAACAATTGAGGCAAACCCAAATGAAATTTGGCGTTTCAAGAAATGTACCTAGTTTCTTAAGTATAAGTGTTGGGATTTGTTAAATTTGTCCGAGGGAACCTCCAGGCAGGGTATCTAAGATCACGGCACCTTTGTTCCAAATTATTTTACCCATGGGCCTTAACTCTACTTCCAGCGTAAGCCACCAAATCAAAGATCTCACAGGATGTGTGTCGGGACCTTTGTTATTACAAAGTCAAAGGAAGGTGTTGTTGTTCACTTATAAATACCTCTCTCCCAGGAGTTTGACTCAAAGAAAAAAACCTATTGAAGTAGCTGGGAAAACAGTCCTAAATTGCTAATCACTTAGTTTAGTAACAGCCTTGTTCAAACATAAATAAATTTCCTCATTTACTTATGTAAAATTTCCTAGTATACTTGCCTCTCTCAGTACTAACTCTAACGTGCAAATTACCCGCTTTATCATTGCATAAAAACATTTACGCTCTGGGTAAAAATAAAAGGGGGAAGAGATGTGTGAATCAGGACTAGAGGATTCTAATTTGAGTTAACATTAACAATACAGAGAGTAAATTTTTGAAAACTCCTGCAATCACTATCTCAACCAAAAATGGACATAAATGCCTAACTTATCTGCGGCTTTCTCTGGGAAATCTTGCCAAGCTTCCCGGCTAGGATACAGTCTTTCCCACCCGTGCTGTGGAACCCTCTACCAGTCCGCTCCCTCCAGCCCAGCCTTCATCCCGTATCTGTCATCGCTGAATTATCCGTCTTCTCCGCTAGATCGTAAACTGTGAGGGCTGGGGCTCTGTCATGTTTTTCATGGCTGAATCCCCAGTTTCCAGTGCAGGGATGGCATACAGTAACCCTTCAACAACATTTACTGAGTGACTAAATGAATGACACAGCAGTTGCTACATTTAATAAGCAGTTATGTGCCAGGCAGTGTGCTACAAAGTTTACTCTTACTGTGTGGTCTTCCATTCTCACAATAAACGCCTACTTTTCCCGAAAAAATCCTATTAAGACCCAAAGCCAGATAACTGACTTGCCCAAGGAAGTCAGAGAAACCCCGGACTGTCTTTCTCCAAAATGCATACCACACAAGGGATCTACGCTGACAATCCACAGGAGACCTCGTGTCCTCAAAGCCACGTTGCGTACGGTCTCCCCTGTACAATGAACATTCCACGCCCAGGCCTTTTAAAATGCTGCTTCTCCCCAGCTTTTCTAACGCCCTTCCTTTCTTCTCTGTCTCCAAAGTCCACCTCAAGTCTCACCTCCTCCAGGGAGCCTTCTCCAAGGACCCAGTCCTAAGTGCCTGCTCCCTTCCCGCTTTGGAGCTCACTGGCTGCACAGCCACCCCAACAACAACAACAACAACAATAATAATAATGGTTAGCATTTACTAAGCACTTCCCATGTGCCAGGCACTGCTCTGAGCACTTCAGGTACATGAGCTCATTAAAATTTTCCCACCAATTCTACGAGGCAGGGACTGGAGCCCTGCTCTGCCTGGCTTACGGCTAAGCCACACTCCTGCGCATTGCTTCAACTTGCGAATTTGTTTTGCTTCCCGAATTAGACTGTCAACATTGTGGCAAGGACACAGGCACACCTCGCTTCTCTTGTACCACGCCATGCTTTCACGGCGGGCTCGTGAAACACGTGCTGAATGGCCCGAGGACTGAGGTCAGAAATCACTTGTTGGAATACGCTTCAGAAAACACAGCATGTTTGATCTGAGGTTTCCGTTTCCTGGGCAGAGTCGTTTTGTGTGTTTTGTTAAAGAATTGCTGGTCTCCCAAATCATCACTAAGTCTTAACTACAATTTCAAATTCTGAAAGGTGACTTCAACTGAACTAATTAGTTAAAATGAATAAAACTTCCTTCCCTGACATGGCCCTTTATTCTCTTGGAATAAGTCCGTCCTCAAAGGATGGAACTGGCTGGGATTTGAACGGAACCAGTCCCTGGCAGATCACCTAGCTCAGCCCAGGCCCTCAACAAATCCCGAATTGTACTCCCTGGAAGGTATTTTATTTACTCTTTGGAGAATTTGTACTGAAATGGTCCAGTCTAACCTCAGAACAACAACAAAGGCCTGATTTCAGATTTGAGACACGTGGCAACTAATGAAACAGGTTCATTTCATAACCCTCACTGGCCAATCATTTCTATACTCAAGGAAGACTGTCATTTTCTGAAGAGAGAGGCAAGAATGAGAGGTTTTGGTTTTGATCAAGGTATGAATTTCTCTCCTGAACTCAAAATGCAGTCTAACAGCTTAATAACACATTTTCAAATATTAATCTTTGAAAATATCTGAGGGTTTCTTTTTCTCTTGCAAGCAGTTAACAGGAAGTGAAGAGGAACCATTAAGTAACCAACATGGAAAAAACTCCACCTTTAAATCTCACTTCAATGAACATGTATCTGGTCAACCCTAAAAAAAAACACCTGAAGGCTGATCCCACTGAATAAAGAAACCTAAACGTATAATACCAAAAGGGGAAACATCAGTCATGCCATGACACGCTGAAAAGGGTCACATTGGTGTCTGCACACAGGATTATCTCCTGTCTCTGTCTAATCCTGATAATTATGTTCGTTGTAATACTGTATCTGAAAACACTAACTGCGCGTACAAAGGAAAAGAAATACAGAGAAAAGCCAATGAAATGAACTGAGGAATGGTAAGATGAGCTGACAGAAAAAAAAAAATGCTGAGCAAATAAAGAAACAGAACCGGATAAATGGAGACCAACCTTGGGCTGGGAGAAAATATTCCTTGAGACCACAAAGATGGCTTTTTTTGTCATTAGCTATGAGTTCATTCCCAACAGCTATGATGGAAGAAAAAAATTAGTATGGCAACAGTTTTTTGTGAGCTTTCACCTCCTTCCTATCAAGGTAAACTGGGAAGTGTTACAGCTGAAAACATCAACCCTAAGCCAATGAAAACAATGTTTCTAAATTCAGTGCGTTAGCTCTGAGGGCCAGGTGAACATATAATCCACTCTTAGCTTTCTCACTGCTCTCAGCAAAGCAGACAACCTGGCTGTTGCAGGACCCGAGTCAGGCAATTACGCGGGTAATTTGGAAAATGCCAACATAACAATTATAAAAAGATAGTAAGGCCAGAAAACACAGGCCTCGGGGACAAAAACGAGTCTCTTTACTGGGAGAGCACGCAAGCCATCTTTTCCTAAGCACTTATTTCTATAACGATGAGCCTGGTAAGTAAAGGATATAAATAATGTAGTATGTTTTTATTCCCAATTATCTCAATATTAAGCTGTATTCAATGTTTAAAATTAGACGACTGTTGGTGTTTTAAGTTAAGGAGTGACGTAAAATGTAAAGGCCACTGTTTTTAAATCCTTTTAACATAAAGATGCTGCAGGCCCTATGAGCAAGAAAGGACAAACAGAAGTTGTCTCAGAGTCCACGCTGTCACCTCCCTCCTGTGTGACACTGCGCTCCATTCATGAACACTTCCTTTCTTGATTTTGATACACTCGGTTTCCCAAGAACCCGTCCTGAAGCTAAAACGACTTCAAGAACATTTCCCGCCTGTCACTTACAATAAAAATTCGACTGAAGTTTGTTTTCATGACCGAATTTTTAAAAATTCATGTGATTTTTCGGATCTGGCAGTAAAAACGGTCGCACTGTCCCTGCTTTTTAACAAAGCGGTGTGGCTTTCAATGTGCTCTATCCCACCATCCGAACACAGAAAAGACATTTTCAAAATGGGCAAAGGAATAGCTTCTTATGAGGCTGCAGGTTTCAAGGTGGGCATTTTCCCCGAGTGAAGTGAAGCACTAAGCAGGCAGCGAGGCCTCGCTTCCAGCAGCCGAGACGCGCCCCATTCCTCCTCTGCAGGCGTCCGCGGCGACATGGGGACAGTGTGTCTGCGCCGGGGTCGCAGGTCCCGAGACAATGGCAGGATCGACGCGGGGCGTCCGGGCAGAGGCGGCGGCAGAGGAAACGGTGTCGGCGGCCTAAACCACCCTCGCTGATGCCCCCCCAGCTCCCAAGTGTCACATCAACATCAGGGCGCCAGGTCCCGCAGACCGGGCGGGTGCTGGGCCGGGGTCGCGCGCCGCGCGGTGCCCAGAGTCGCCCCCAGGTAGGCGCACGGCTTCCCGCTCCCCCACCCCCGCGACGCGAGCGGAACGGAGCAAAACAGAACCGACCGCGCACGGCCGGCCGTTTCTTTTGTCTTGCTCAAGGCTGCGCCCTTTTTGCCCGGGAGGCCGGCGGTCATGGGCTCGGGCGCGCTCCCTGGGGCTCCGCCAGGTGCTCCCCGGCTCCCCTGTCCCCACCCGGGCACCGGGAGACCCCCGAC